AATTGTCAAAAAAGAAAAAACTCTGAAAATACTTTTACAAAACAATCCCACAGTATTTATTCTCAAATCTAGTAGTCATTCAGATTTTCATGTATGAAAACTGCTTAAATAAGGTATATGAAAACTGTAAGTATTCTAGATTATCCAGGCTTAGGACCCTCTCTTCTTTTGACCGTATTTAGTCTCTACCTTCCAAATATCCATAGGCAAGCTTCCATTTCCCTTTGGAAAGCGCTGTTTTCTTGATCATCCCCCTCCCCCCGCCCCAATCCTTCTATTGTGTCAGATTTACAGGACAGTAAGCCAACTGTGGTCAAGAAATCTTGGGAGGACAGAGAGGGAAGTGGGAGGGGCAGCCATGGTGAATGTTTCCCTAAGTAATCAAGTTCTTGCAGGGAGAAGATAGCCACCCCAATCTTTTCAAATCCTCGACTATATTTCCTTTAAAGTGTCTGGTTTTTGTTGTTGTTAGTCTTGCTGTTGCCCATATGCTAACTAAGAAACCATGAAGTTCAGCTGTTAAACATGACTTTAATAACCCTAACTTAAAACACATTATAGGATAATATGCTAAAAAAGATGAGTTCCAATCAGAAAGGAATATTTTTTGAAAAATATTTATTAGGAAGTTCTTATCTTGGAAAACATCAAAGTTTGGGGAACAAGAAGTGGCTAAGAGGTTGTAACAGGGTTCTGCTTAGGACTTTACTTTAGACACTTGCTGAACTGCTTAGGCTGTCGTGCCTGGGGTGTGGTTGGCTGCCCATGACTTCTCAGATCTCCAAGCCATGTCTTTGAAGCGTCTGTGATTCTCCTTTTGCCCTACTCACTTTGATTCAGTGTCTAAAGCTTGGGAAAGGTAGGAAAGAAATACTGCTTCTAGATCTCCCAAACTTCTTTCCAAACTTTATTTTGAAAAAAAATGGCTACCTACTTTTTCTACCCCCACCCCCCTTTTTTTTCCTTTTTGCCATCTTGGATTTTCCAGCCTCCAGAGCTGTGGACAATTCAATTCTCTTGTTTATAAATTACCAACTCTAGCTTGGCATGGGAATGTATCCTTTAGTGTGTTGACCCTGTTTTCAACTGTATTTCTTTTAGATTGTTTTTCTACCCCTAATGATTTTTATGAACTCTCTGAAAAGAAGCTGCTCAGACTCCTCTTGCAGACAACCTTATAATGCCTTTCCTCTCCATGCCACTGGACTCAAATAAGCATGATTAAAGAAATTGATGGGAAAAAAATTGATGGGCTATTTTTTATTTTGAATTATTGATTGCTAACTCTGCTTTATTACTGTGTATCTGAATAGCAAAGAGTTTTCTGTTGCTAGCTATTAAGTATTCTTTAGGAAGTGGCCTTGTGGGGCTGGAGAGATGACTCAGTGGTTAAGAACACTGATTGTTCTTGCAGAAGACCCGGGTTCAAATCCCAGCACCCACATGGCAGCTAACAACTGTCTGTAACTCCAGTCCCAGGGGATATGGCAGCCTCTTCTGACCTCTTAGGGCACTGCACGACACGGGTGCACTTACCTGCATGCAGGCAATACATGCATACACATAAAATTAAAAAAATAAATAAAATTAAAAAAAAAAAGTGGCCTTGCTTAAATTATCAGGCAGAAAACATTACCTACTACTCACTACTGACATAGGCATTTTCTCTTTGATAAAGAGGGAAGTGAAAAGAGAATTTAAAAGTCCCTGCCTTTTTCCTGCTTCTAGCATAGAAATAGGACTGTAACTTGTGGAATTCTGATTTCTGGATTCTTCTGTTGCCTCACCTCCAGCTTTTAGTTTAAGCTATCTTCACATTCTTTCCTGTGTGCTGCTCTGCTGCTGCTTTGTAGTCATCTGTGAACACTCCTTACATTTGGTTGTAATCTATGTACCTTTTAACTCTGAGCTCTGCAAGTGAATATTCTGCAGATGAATTAATTTGTTTCCTCTAAGAATTTGCATTGCAGAAGAGAATTCTAGAGAATCTTTTTTCTTTTGGTGGGGCATCTTTTTGAGACAGGATCTCCCTGTAGTCCCAGCTGTCCTGGAAGTCACTATGTAGAGCAGGTTGACCTTGAACGCACAGAGATCCCCCTGCCTCTGCCTCCTGAGTGCTGGGATTAAAGGCTGGCACTACCAAGCCAGGCTAATTCTAAAGACTCTTACCCAAATTTGTATTATTATTGCTGCTGTTGTTGTTGGCTTTTAAAAAATAGTGTCTCACGGGGCATGGTGGTACACGCCTTTAATCCCAGCACTCGGGAGGCAGAGGCAGGCGGATCTCTGTGAGTTCAAGGCCAGCCTGGTCTACATAGTGAGTTCCAGGACAGCTGGGGCTACAGGGAGACCCTGTCTCAAAAAGACCAAAAAAAAAAAAAGGTGTCTCTATAATGCTAGATGCCTTGAAACTCACTGTGTAGAGCTGGCTTGGCTTGAGCTTGTAGTGATCCTCCTGCCTTTGCCTTCTGGACTGTTGGGTTTATAGGCGTGTTGAAATTACTGACATGCACCATGTCACCTAGCTGTTTTGTTTTGTTCTAAGTTATTAAAGTATGACTTCATTTTTTAAAAAAACAAATAATATCTTTCTAAAAATTAGGATTATTTGTAGTATCTCTCTATAGAATTATTCTTTAGTTAAATCTCTGTGGTCTTTTAAGTTATATATTCATAGGCTGCTGATTAAATGAAGCCTTTGAAATCTGTTTTACTGATTGGTATCATATCTAACTATGCCAGTGTTTCCTTCCTGTCTGACGTGAACTCTAAAATTACATGAACACTTTCTCCCTGTTTCCTGGCATTTCCACTCCAACTTGTTCCTCATTCTTAGCTGGAAATACATTTAGAGTTGTAGTTTCCTTTTAAAAAAATTTAATGGTTAAAAAAAGCTAACCAAGTGTATCAAGATTTTTTTAAAGGAAAACTGCATGTAGTTAAAAGCTGTGAAATGCCTAGTTTTTTGCTGTATTTTTTGTCTTCTAATTTTACATTTTATTATAATAGTATACATTTCTACTACCTAACTAAGTTGTGGCATACTGTTTAATTTTTTAGGTCCTTAATTTTAATTTATTCATAAACACACCCCTAATTCAGCAAGCCCCACCGTATTTGAGTACTCTTGTTGCTGATCAGCTTTTCTCTTTCCTGGAGCATTTTGCCTGCCCTGCTCTGAATTCATTGCTCTCTAGGCTTGCTTTGTGCATTTGCCTGAGATGCCTCACCTGGGATTCTCATTTTTTCTCATTTCAAGTTGGAGTCTTCAGTTTTTAGAACCTAGCATCTTCTTTCACAGTTTTCCACTCTTATTTTGATGGGGGTCCATCTTTTAGTAACTTCCTGAGAGAGTGCATGGAGAACAAAATAACTTACTTATTTTAAAATATCTTTGTTATGTACTTGATCTCAATTTGCCTATATGTGAGCACCCTGATGTATAGATTTATGGAGTTCTATGCTGGAAGTAACTTCCTCAAAATCAGGCTTTGCACAATTTAGCTGCTAGTGTTAAAAACGACAGTGTCATTTTGATTTCTTATTCTTTTTAATTTTTTGGCTGATTTTAGGATCTTTTGGCTTCTTCAGCATTCAGAAATTGCATGAAGATAAGCTTTTCTGCCCCTTTTTAAAAAGAAATCAAATTTATTGTATATTTATAAACCTTTTAATTTGAAAACTCATGTTTGGCTAGGAGATGTAGTTCAGTTGGTAAAATCCTTTCCTAGTATGCATGAGGCCGTAGAGTCAATCCTCCACACCACATAACTGGGCATTGTACTTGCATGCCTATAATCCCAGCACTCCCGTGATAGAGGCAGGAAGATCAGAAGTTCAAGCTTATCCCTCACTACGTAGAGAGTTCAGGCCCACTTTGGGCAACATGAGACCCTTTTCTGTTTTGTTTTATAATTAGTTCCTCAGCATTACACTCGTCTGAGCCTTCTCTTATAGGGTTTAAGATTAAGCAAATTTTCATATATTAAATGCTTAAAATACTGTCTAGCATGTAGTAAGTGCTTGTGGTATCTATAATTGCTTATAGTCTTTGGGTTTGAGTCTTGTACTTGCTAGCTTCACACCTACTTCTCATCTCTGTGAAATATAACTCTCAGATGTTTACAAGGGGTAAATGAGGGTATACAGAGGAAAAAATGTATAATGTACTTCGTATAGAATTAAGTTACTGCTTGTATCTTTCAAATTTAAAATTTTCCATATTTCAAGTTAAATTTTTTCTTTTCATTAAAAGGATGACTAAATTTTATGGCTTATTTTTGAGTACCACTAGATTGCTTGTGATTTCCTCGGAGTTCAGTATGAGCTAGATGAACTTGAATTAAATGCTAAAATTACCCTTTTTTGTAATAAGGTCTCCCTGTATCCCCAGCTGGCCTGAAACTTGCCATGTATACCAGGCTGGCCTTGAACAGAGATTCACCTGCCTCTCTCTCCCCAGTGCTGGGATTAAAGGTACATACCTGGCTTTTTTTTTTATTTTAATTTTTATTTTTTTTATGTGCGTGTATTGCCTGCATGTGTGTAAGTGCACCTGTGTCATGCAATGCCCACGGAGGTCAGAAGAGGGTGTCGGATCCCCTGATGGACATTTGTTAGCTGCCTTGTGGGTGCTGGGATTCGAACTTGGGTCTTCTGCAAGAACATTCAGTGTTCTTAACGTTGAGCCGTCTCTCCAGCCCCCACGCCCAGCTTTTTTAAAGTTGCATTTTCAAGATATTATTTCTTATTATGCTGAAGACAAAAGATAGGAAAACAGTTTTGGAAAAACTTTGGCTGTACTTAATATTGTATAAATTTGTGTATTATAATACACAAACATTATTGGATGACGTGATTACTAGTAGGTTATTTCTTACTTAATGGTGTTTGAGATTAGAAAGATAAAGTACTCTGTATTTTGGTTCTTCTCAACATTAATGTAATTTGAAATGCTAGCTCATTTTTGTTAATGGTGGCTTTTTGTTTTGTTTTAAGGTTTTTGGATTCAAAGCATAAAAACCATTACAAGATATACAATCTGTAAGTATGTTTTCTTATTTTTAATGCCTGCTAAAATAACTAAATGAAAGTTATTTCCTAGTTATAGAGACAAAAATATATTTCAGTAGAACTGAATTAACAGAAACAGTTGAAGAAATAAGATTGAGGGGGATTGTTGGATCATCTAGGAAGTGTACTGATGAGGCACAACAATGTTGGCACAGGTTCATGTTACTTGATCTGCAAGTTTTATTGTAGGTACCATAATTGTTTCTTTGAAGGAAAATATAAACCACCAAGCTTTGCGTGTTTTGAACAGCTGGATTCAGAAGTTGACTTTAATTAAAGGACAAGAACTGTTGAAAGCTGGAATCAATTAAATGAGTCATTTCAGGCTTAGGCTGTGAGGATTGGAGATTTAGAGAGTCCTGATAGGGAAGTAAAAAGACATTCTGTTTGGGTCGAGATTTTATTCCACTTTAACATATCCAAAGAACAGGGAGGAAATTCTTTTCATTGCTGTGTGTAGTGGCTTCCTGCTTCCAGAATTTTGGGATTAGGTTTATATTACCTGTTTTGTAGGTCACTTATGTTATTATGGTTAAAGTTGGTATTGGGTCATACATAGCCTTGGAACTTGACTTTACTTTGAAGCATTTGATTCCCAAATTAATGAGGTATCTCTTTATTTAGTATACTAACTTTTGTCATAAGGACTACAGACTTTGAGAACTGCAAAGATCATTTAGTACAATCAGATTCTCATTTTATAGATGGGGAGTCTGAGGCCTAGAGAGGCTAAGTGGAAGGTCACACAGGTACATATGCTAGCAGACCACCCACTGTTTATGTCAGTAGGCCCTTCTATTTTGTTCTTATTTGTTTTAACTTCCCCAAATTTTATTTGCTTCACAAGTTTCAAGGACTACAAAGTTGTATTGTAATCTCTGATACCCTATTATCCCCTGCCTATTATGTCTGGTTTTAGGCAAGTAAGACTAGCACAGCAGATGTTTTTATTTTCTTTCTTTCTTTTTATCTTAGGATAGCAGTTACATGTTCTATAAATCTCTTTCTTCAAAAACATAAATTTGAAGATTTTAAAAGTATTTTCACTAGGCATACCCATACATAATAGTGTAGTAAACCTTTTATAGCAGTTATGTTGTATACAAGGAATTATTCATGTAGACTTTTAAAAGTTTTTTGTATTTCACTGAATTTTGACATACTTCACCATTTTGTGGCAAACACGTAGCTGTATTATTTTTATCTGTTAAGATTTCTTTTGTGAAATGGCGATAGCTCATTGTAAAGAGTAAGGAAGAGCCTTCAGTGACTGGCGAGGCCCACTTCTGGCTTTTCCTGTTCATCCGACTCCTATCTTGTCTTTTACCAGTTTGTAAAACTGCATCTTCATTTCTTTTTTCATATAAGCCAGTATAAGGTAATGCTAGATATCTTTTGAGTTTTAATTATAAAGAAATTTAAATGTGTAAATCTCACTTGCTATTTTTCTAATGTGTTGAACTACTTATCAAAGTCTTCACTGGGTCAACCTTTCTCTCAGCACTGGTATCACTACCAGCCCCAGAATGTGCTCTCCCAGGCCTCCTATGCTTACTATGAAGAGATGTACACAGCTCCCGCCCCCCCTTTCCTTTCAAATTATCACTGTTTGGCTTTGTCTTTAGTGATAAATAGAGCTCATGTTAGAATGCTGGCTTTGAATAAAATTTGTTATTGCTTTTACATTTAAAACTATAGGTTTTTTGTTTTGGTTCAGTTTTTTAAGATAGCATCTCTTTGTAGTCTCAGGTGTCCTGGAACTCACTATGTGGACCAGGCTGACCTTGATATCACAGAGCATCCTGAGTGGTGGGATTAAAGTCATATGCCACCATGCCTGGCTAAAACTTTAGTTTTTATTGTAAGTTATATCAAGCAGTAGTAGAAAAAGGTGAGCTTTAGTGACCAAGGATACTGAATTTGAGCTAATCATTTATGCAGTGTGATTTGGGGAAGCTTTTAAGGGCTCTTCTAAACTAGCTTTCTCACACGAAAAGTGAAAAGTAAAGCACAATAGGTAGCATGTTAGTCTCGTAAGGCTAATATTAACTATTATCATATAATTGTTAAAAATGAAAACAAAAATGTGGCCCTTCCTTTGTAAGGTCCGTGCATCCTGTGGACAGTTGTTAGTTGTTATTTTCATGTACCTTTCATATACCATTTTGTGATGTGATCTTAAGAAATGTTTATCAAACCAAATTTTTATTTCTTCCCTTTCCTCTACCTCCCTCTCTTATTTTTTTCTTTTTTCTTTGATGGGATGGAGCCTTCTTCACCCATGCTCAGCAAATTCTCTACCACTGATCCAGGCCCAAATGAGACGTTTTGAGGTCCTGAGAAAGCATGGCAAGTTGAGACAACTGGAATATGCCCAAAATTAGCGTTTATTTTTTGATAAGCTGTTACAGGACCAGTTTCTTAGAATCCTGTTCTTCACTTTATACATTTCTTTGGTGCCTGCCTGGCTCCTTACATAGCACTCCACTGTGGGCTCTTTACTACTGTGCCTGTGGAGCTGGACATGAAGCCCATACGTTTAATTCCAGGGAGGTAGAGGTAGGAGGGACCAGTTCAAAGTCAGCCTTGAGTACAAGAGATCTTGCCTGAAAAAGTCAGCCACCCAAACAACCAAATAAAAAGAAAAAAAAAATTAAAATGTGTCTCTCTTTGTTCAATTCTCTGCTTCTTATCATTTTTACATAAGTAAATATGAAATTAATTTAAGGAAGGATGTGTATGCATGTCATTACCAAATAAATTTTTCTTTTTAGCAAAATAGTGTATATTGGATAATATACTTAAAGAGAAAAGCTTGTTTTGGATAATGATATAAAAACTGATTTACTTCAGGTCTGATCAGCTAGAAATCCAGTGGGTTGAAATTTATTTTTAATCTTCATGTGAATTTGGTTTTGAAATGTTTTGAGGAGGTGTGCAGTTAGGGTGTGTATATTTGTTTATACAATTTGTGACATCATTAGACAGCACTATTTCTAATAATTATTACTAATTGTAATAATAATAATAATAATTATTATTATTATTGTTTTTTTGAGACAGGGTCTCCCAATAGCCCCAGCTGGCCTGAACCCACAGAGATCTGCCTACCTCTGCTTCCTGAGTGCTGGGGTTAAAGGCATACATCACCACTTCCAGCCCAATAATTTTTGAATGTTTGGGTTTTGTTAGTAGTTGGGTTACTGGAGTGCTATGGATCCATTAATACATAGGATCTCCCTTTGAACCTATTAGTGTTTATACATATAGACTGTTAATTTTGAGTAGAACAGTGCATACGAACCAATACTACTATTATTAAAAAGCTAAATAATGTATATGTTTTATAATGATGTCAGCATTTTACTGTTGTGTATTGATTTTATGATAACATTGTGATCAGATATTAGTTAAAATTTGTTCTGAGAGATCATTGAAAGTGATCCCTCCCTCCCTCCCTCCCTCGCTCCCACCTGTAACCACAGCTGTCCTGGAACTCTTTGGAGACCAGGTTGGCCTCATTCTCAAAGAGATCAGCCTGCCTCTGCCTCTCAAGAGCAAGGATTAAAGTCATGCACCACCACACCTGACTTATTTTCACTATTTTTAACATCCATGTTTAAAATAATAGTTTGTGATTGTATGTGATCAAGTAAAGATAATATTGAAAGTCAGTTATTCACAGGTACTTGTGAAATAAAAAATACATGGTAATGGCATGTACAGTTTCCACTGAGGAAATTTGAAGGTATTAGGGCAGATGAATTTGCTGATGTATACTGTGCTATATATTAAAATTGTCACATTGTATAGGTAAATGTGTATGCTTTAATTGCATCAGGCATGTATTTAATCTTTTAAACTTTGGCTTTCTTAATTATAAAATGAGATTTATAATAGTACCTACTTCACAGAATTCGTGGAATTAACTGAAATAGTGACTATAAAAACACTTAACACAATGCCTGGCATATTATAAAGGTTCAGATAATGTTTGCCATTATTAATACTTTTTCCAAGTATGACAAGTAACTTTATGCCACATTTTAACTTTTCTTTTAGATGTGCTGAAAGACATTATGACACCGCCAAATTTAACTGCAGAGGTATGTATACGTCTTAACCGTAGTATCTTGTGTAACTTAAAAACCAGTAGACTGTCTTTTGCTGCCTGGTAATAATCTTCTAAATTACTGAATAAATGTTATCTTAAGGATAGTTTTCAACAACTTTCAATAATGAATTTTCATGGTTCTGTTTTAGGTCATACAGACCTAGCAAAATTGTCTGGAAAACTAAAGAATAGAATAGATTAAGAACTAGGAGAGATTACAAGACTAAGGAGGAGGTTATTTACTCTTTGAGGCAGTTGGTGCTATAATAAGCAATTATAGGGAGAAAGCAGGGGTACTTTAAATTTTCTGTATTGAAGAGTAAAGATAGGGAAGGATAAAATGGTCTGGATAAGAGAAGCTTGATGGATGAGAGCTGTGGACTGCTTTAAATGAGTTTTACCACAGATATGGGTCAGTATTGTTTCACAGCCCTCAAAACCTTCCACTTCATTTATAGATGCTGCTGTGGTAGTCAGAAAGAGAAGACGATTCCCAAGTGATAGATTGTCGCATTTGTTATTGGTCTCTGCTGAAAATCTAGCATGGATGTTCAGACAGATGATCTGAGAATTTTGAAATACTAAGTTTGAACATTTTACTAAGAATGTTCCTTCTTTAGGGATAGAAGTAGGCTACTTCTTAGTAGGAAAGTATGCCGTATGTGATGCTTCTTGAGGTTTTTTGTCTTTTTGAGACAGGGTCTCCCTGTAGCCTCAGCTGACCTGGAACTTGCTGTGTAGACCAGCGTGGCATAGAAGTCACCACCTGCCTCCGCCTCCCAAGTGCTGGGATCAAAGGCGTGTGCCACCATGCCTGGCTTAAAGCTTCTCTAGTTTTAGATGTACATCTTAACAGATTTTAATTCTTTCTTTTTGTAAATATCATACATAAGTATAGTCTTTGCATTATTTCCATCTCTCCCAGTCCCCTTCCAACTCCTCCCATGCCCCCTCCATTCCCTCTCAATTTTTTGTCCTCTTTTGTGATTATTATTGTTGCATATACATCCATACATCTATAGATATGCATATATATAAATAATTCTCTGAGCTCATGTAGTGGTGCTTTTAACAAATTATCTTAAATGTGTGTGTGGCCACCTAAAAAATGAAGATGGATTGAAGTAGTTAGGAAGATGGCTAAATGATAGTGGTTCTGCCACTTCTATGTTGCAGTACTGTGTCCTTGTCTACCAGAGAGCTTTCGTGCCAGAGAAAGCATTTAATTAATTGTATCTTAGACCAGATTATGATGACTTGGTTGAGGACATAGTCATAATTTTCACATGTCCAGATAATAGTATCAGTCAGGATTTAAAAAAAAAAAAAAAATTTAAAGGCACCATCTCATGTATCCCAGACTGGCCTTGAACTCATTATGTAGCTGAGAATTATCTCAGATCTTTGATCCTTCTATCCCCACCTTCCAAGTGTTGGAATTACAGGCATCACCAATTTCAGATTCTGTGTTTACCAGGTCTTGGGGATTGTCCCAGAGCTTAATGCCTGTTAGGAAAGTACTCTGCACACTGAGCTAACCCCCCGACCCCGACTTCATTCAGGGATTTTAAGACTCATAGAGTAGAACCAATGCAGATACTAATAGGATAAAAGTCAGTAGTGATAGAACTAAAGTCCTATGGAGCTGGAGAGATGGCTCCACAGTTAAGAGCACTGGCTGTTTTTGCAGAAGACCTGGTTTCAAATCCCAGCACCCACATGGCAGTTAACAACAGTCTGTAACTCTAGTTCCAGGGGATCTGACACCCTCTTCTGTCATCTGAGGACATTGCACTACATGGATGCATCTACATACATGCAGGCAATACACTCATACAATAGACATAAAATAAAAAATATATGCTTAACTCTAAGGAACAAAGAGACAGGGTCTCACTATGCAGTCTTTGTTGGCCTGGAGCTTAGTTTATAGACCAAGCTGGCGTGGAACTCACAGAGATCTCTACAACACCACAACTGTAGTGTTATGATAATATTTTTTAAAAACCCGCTTGGTATCTTTATGATGTAAAATTCAGTCTTTTTCATAGTTTATTAATAATCTATACTTTCTTCAAAATATATTTTGCAGTGATTTAGTAATAACTGTTATTATTCCTCCTGTTAGAAACTACTGCTGATAAGAGCCTCTATGGCATCTGTTTGAATTGATCTGTGCCCAGAGGCTGCCTGCCTTCTTTAGCCATTTCCTCCTGCGCGAAGTGTGGAGCACAGTGCTTGTCTCCTTGTCTAATGAAAACATAAGTCTTTTTATTCAAAAACAAGGTTCATAAGCAGTAAATTATTTTTCCTTTAAAGTCAGGTTTCTTTTAATCACCAATACGTTTATACAACATTTCTAAAGTTAACCTACTTTAAAAAGTTGAGGATTTTTTTTTTCTGACATTGAGGTTATCTTTTTACAACAGTTGCACAATATCCTTTTGAAGACCATAACCCACCACAGCTAGAACTTATCAAACCCTTTTGTGAAGATCTTGACCAATGGCTAAGTGAAGATGACAATCATGTTGCAGCAATTCACTGTAAAGCTGGAAAGGGACGGACTGGTGTAATGATTTGCGCATATTTATTGCATCGGGGCAAATTTTTAAAGGCACAAGAGGCCCTAGATTTCTATGGGGAAGTAAGGACCAGAGACAAAAAGGTAAGTTATATTCTATGTTTTTCTTTTCCTCTTTGTAATCTAAGAGTTTATTGGGAAACAGTTTTTTTCCCCATTCTTTTCCCTGTAGCTTTATTGAGACATAACTGACAAAATTAAACATTTACTATGTATATGTGATATTTTGAGAAATGTATGCCTTGTCCTTGCCACAGTCATATCTACCACAGTCATTTCCACTTAACATCACCTGCTGTCCTTTAACTTCAGCTGTAGTAAAAGATTTTCTTGCAGGGAATTTTAAGTATAAGAGATTACATGTCATTAACTTTTGTTATGTTGTACGGTAGGCCTCCAGGTCTTTTTTTTTTTTTTTTTTTGTATAACTGAAATATTTTGTACAGAAGCTCTCCATCCTGCATCCTACTCCCCAAAAAGAATTTCAAGAGATAGAGGTTGATAATAGTTATTTTTTTTAACTTTTTTTTTTTTAAACAATAGACTCCCCCATATAGTTGGTGCTGTCCTCATCATCCCCATCTTAGCCTCTAAAGTACTAAGATTACAGAATTATGCCAAACTCTTCCAAAGTTGGTGGTGGTTGTTGCTTGGACAGGATAGCACTGTGTAGACCAAGCTGACCTGGACCCACAGAAATCTCCCTGTGTCTGCCTCCTGAGTGCTGGGATCAAAGATGTTCACCACCATGCTCAGCTCTTGCAAAGTTTTTTTATTTTTTATTTATTGTTGTTTGTTTTGTTTTTGCAGTCTTGTGCAGTTCAGTTGCTCCAGTTTGGCGGGTGAACTTCACAGGTGACAACATGTCACAACATCAGAAGGTTGGACATGGTTACTCTAGGCCTTAAGACATCACAACTGTGAATCTATTCTAGTTAAAATTTCTGTAATCAGGCAGGCTTACCTCTAGGCTAAGCCATTTTCTTTTTTGGCTGCTGCCACCTCCCCTGCTTCTCCTTTGACACCTCACCCTACTATTCCCTCCTTTCGCCGCCTCCTCCTACCTTCCTTCTCTAATATTTTCAAAAATTTTTGTTGTTTTTATTATGTGTACGAATGTATTGCCTACATGTATGTAAGCGCACCTGTGTTGTGCAATGCCCGCGGAGGTCAGAAGAGGGTATCGGAGCCCCTGTGGATGGAGTTAGTTACCTTGTATTGCTGGGAATAGAACCCAGGTCCTCTGCAAGAGGAGCCATCTCTCCAGCCCCCTTTCATATTTTTTAAACCTTAATTCTATCTTAATTTAGCCTCAAATTATAAATAGTAATAATCACTTTAAGCTCTGTAGTTGCATTGATTCCTGGTTTTTGTAGTTTTTTTTCCTCTCCTGTTTTCTAACCTTTTGTCTTTGTGATTGAGCATGTAAAGATGTTAAAAGATATTTACTGGTGTAAGCTCACAAAATTGGATAAAATAGAAAAGTCATGAACCCGAATACCAGTTTTAGGCTAGAGGTTCCTCAACTCTGCATCATACATACTTTTAAATACTTTGATGAAATCTGTAAATGTGCTCTCACTTAATGTGTGCATGGTATATACATAATAGATTTTTACTGATAACTTTTAATTGCACTCAAACTTAAAAATACAGAATGTAATTAAGAACCTTCGTATAAATTATGTTTCATTTTCTTCCCATTTAAAACATCAGTATCTGTTACTTCAGCAGTGAGTAGCTCTGATACATTCTTCTGACTAATTAACAGAGGCTTGTGTCAGATATAAGTTCTCTAAGATTCCAGATAAATTCTTGTTGCATCAGCTTTTTTTATTTTTGAGTTATTGGGACCATTTTTGGCAAGATCTTTATTATTGATGCTGTTAGGAAGGAAAAGGTTATGATTCATTTTATATTTCAAGTTGAAGTGTTAAACTGCATACAAGAGTTGTTCTTTTTTAAATCCAGTGAGCTACATTGTCTGGCTAAGAATTTGCCTTCACAGCATCAGTGGGCATATAATGTAGTGAAGAACTTCATAAATGCTGCTGTTTCTTGTCAATACCTCTTGAGAACCTCTGGCTTTTATAAACTGGGTGTTTTCATAGCAGAAGGTTTTTCATGACAAACCTCCCACAAGCTGTGATTTAAAACTTGGCTCAGCAAGTAGTAGAACTCTTTGACAGAAATAGATAAGGCTCTCTTAGAATTATTGTAAATCTTGCCACCCAGTATATAAGGATGAACAGAGCTGTGAGTGGCGGTGACATGGAAAACATCCCCCTTCACCATTTCAGGAGAACCAGATGTGCTGTCAGGTGGTAAAGTATACCTACAAGATACAGAGATTTAAGAGGTTTTATTTTTGGTGGTCGGATAGTGGGAGACAAGGAAACTTCACTGTTTTGAAAATATTTTCTGAAGTTTCTAAAAGGACTTAAATATTCGCTGATTATTTATTCGTTGATTGTATCACCATGCATTTATTTGATGAAAACTTGTACATTAAGAAATCAAATGCTGAGGACTGGAGAGATAACTCAGCAGTTAAGAGTGTACTGGCTGTTCTCGCAGAGAACCTGGGTTTGAGTCCCAGCACAAACATGGTGGCTATCAACCATCTGTAACTCCAGTACAGTGCCCTCTTCTGATCTCTGTGGGCAATGCACAATCCATGTACATCTATAGACAGGTAGGCAATGCACTCATATAAAAGAAAAATAATAAATAAAATAAATAATAAAGCAAAAAGTAAAAAATTCAGAAAGCTAGGAAAAACAAGAAATAGAAGGATTCATTAAAGAAAAGAGCAAAAGGGAATATTAGAAAATTAGTGGGGCTAATAGATCAAAAAGTAGGCTTTTAAAAATCAATAAAATGGGTCTGGAGAGTTGCTTCAGCAGTTAAGAGCACTGGCTGCTCATGCAGAGGACCCAGGCTTGATTCCCAGCACCCACATGGCAGCTAACAACCGTCCATAACTCCAGTTCCAGAGGGAATCCGACACCCTCTTGTGACCTCCATGGATATTGCATGACATGGTGCACTTACACACATGCAAACAATACATTTATAGACATAAAATAAAAATAGTAAATAAGATGAAGTTAAAATGATAGGTGTTTGGATAGATAGATGAGAGGGATCTGACTAGACTGCAAGTGGATGGACTTGCACTGGGGAACATCTGGGGACACTGACTTGACACCGTGGGCCTTAACACCCAGTACAGAGTATATGGGTTCCAGTGGGGGGACTATGGGAGGGTGCTGGTGGGGATGGGGTTATAAAGATGATTCAGATTTTTTGAGATATTCTGTATGAAATGCAACAAAATTTAATAAAAACAAATTAAAATAATTTATACTCATTTTTAGATAACATTTAGTATACATTCAAATTTATCTAATAATATACTTTATAGTTGTGCTTTAAACAAAAAGCAAATAAAATATGAATTTATTTTTAGGTTTTGATTTCAAAATATCTACAGTGTATGTTTAACAGAGAGACAAAATGTAGCCCTAGAGTTGAAAAATCAGCGTACAGTTAGAAAGGAGAGGTACTAGATAACAAGAAAGACACGAAGTTATTGAGTGGGGTCCCACTAAAGCAAAGGTAAAGACGTGCACTGCCAAATGGGTGACTATGTTCTGAAGAAATCAACATCTTAAATTGTTTTATTTACATATTTTTGGTGGGATAAAACAATTTCCCCTTTTAAGTTTCTAATGGAAATTTGCAATTTTCATGCAATATAATTAGATGATATTTAGGTATCCTCCACATCCACACCTCCCGTTACTGTCCCCACACAATTTAATGTACTCTATTATATATATAATAAAGCCTATAGATTCTTAAAAAAAATGAAATCAAATGATAAATGGTACTTTCATAGCATATTTCATAATTTTAGAGTAAAAATTGCCAATTTGGGGGGAAATAAATGAGATTGAGATACTGCAACTATTTTAACTTCTGTGAGCTACAAATGTTTTGATTTTTCCTTTTCTCTTTTTCTTTCTCTCAATTTCATGGTGCTAAGGATTGAGCCTAGGGCATTATACATGGTAGACACATTTCACCATTGAACTATGTCCTCAGCCCTCATCTGACCATTTCTGAGCTGTTTACTTGCCTTCATTATGTTGAGCTATTTGTTTTGTGGCTGTGTCAGTCAAGGATTCTAAGTTGGGAGAAATAATGATTTTGTAATAGTTTAGGCTTTTCTGAACTATACTATTTTAAATATACTCCCCCCCCCAACCACATATCTTGTCTGATATAGGGACTTCTTCAGAATAGTTGGCATTGTGCTGCTGACGGTGAGATTTTGCTGTGCAAAAACCACCCGGAATAGATAGTCCATCTCATCATGTTCAAGGATAAGAGTAAAATTCAAGCATGCATAAACTTTTATAATTTTTTTCTCTGTTTCCAGTTCAAGTTAGATCCAGGAGAAGTCTTCAGAGTCAAAATGAAGTCATATTTTAATTTGTCAGTAGAAAGATGTTCTAGACTTCACAATCTTGTTACATTGTCTGTTCTGGGCACCAGATGCTCTCCATTACCCCAAGTGAAGGTGATAAATAGAAACTAGAGAGCTTGTGACAGTGTTAGGGATGTACCTGGAAAAACTGATGTTAAAGTGTTAGAGGATACTGAAACTCATTAAGTAATTTAGCATTTTAGAGTCAAATCACTAGGATTTACTGTGCTTAACTTAAGCTTATATATATGTAGACCTTATTTTAGATAAATTATACACAGGATTTAAAGGAGAATCTCCTAACATGTTTCCTACCTTTATCTTTATGCTTATTTAAAAAGAAAGAAATTTATGAGCAGATGCTATTGACCATGTTGTGTTTTACTAAATGGTTGCATTTGCATTTTAGGTTGAAACAGCATTAGACAGCTGGATATGGATAAAAGCCCCCATTCAAGTATGCTTCTTACTGTTATGATATAACAGACCCGGAGAGGTGCAGTGCTGTGAGAGAATTGCTCAACTCATGACAGCATTAGTTTGAGTTTTGGCCATTTTATTTAATTTCAAATTTACAAATTATGAAATT